AGAAGCCTCCAAATGGAGCTGCCTGGGCTAGGAATGCAGGTGTGCATGTGAGCATGGCTGGGCAGGGGACCCGAGAAGTGTCTGCAACTCCCCCCAGGAAACTGCAATACGCTGGCTGTGGACCACCAAATCCGGTATGGGGAAGGCAGCTTCCTCTACGGATCCTGCCAGATAAAGCCATGTAACTGCCTATGGTCAGGCCTGAAAGATCATACATAGGATTCTGCCCTGGAGCCAGACTGACTCCTCATAAAGAATTCTTATGACTCAACAGGAGAAAGAAAAACAGCCCAATTAAAAATAGGCAAAGGACCTGAATAGGCATTTCTCCGAAGATAAACAAAAGGCCAACAAGCACATGAAAAGATACTCAACATCATTAGTCATTAAGGAGACCAAAATCGAAATCACAATGAGATAAAACTTCATGCTCACTGGGATAGCTATAATAAAAAATGGAAAATGTCGAGAATGTGGAGAAATTCGGACACTTGCATATCGCTGATGGGAAGGTAAAATAGTGCAGCTGCTGCAGAAAACAGGAAGTTCCTCAAAAAGTTAAACACAGAATTACCAACTGACCCAAGAATTCCACTCTGAGATATACATGCCCCTCAAATTGGAAAGCGTTCAAATAGTTGTACAGAAATAGCAACACTATTCACAATGGCCCAAAAGTAGAAACAACCCAAATGTCCACCAACAGTTGAATGAACAAAATGTGGTACATACGTGCAATGGAATATCATTCAGCCATAAAAAGGAATGAAGTGCTGATACATGTTACAACATGGATGAACCTTGTACACATCCCGCTAAGTAAATGAACCCTGATTAGAAAAAGCCATTTGTTGTAAGATTCTATTTACAAGAAACATCCAGAATAGATAAATCCATAGAGACCAGCGCAGATTAGTGGCTGCCAGTATCTGCGGGGAGTGGAGAACAGAGAACAACTGTGTAATGGATGTGACATCTGCTGCTGGGGTGACGGCAACATCTTGGAACTAGACGGAAGTGATGGCTGCACAGCTGAGGGATGCACTTAATGCCACTGAATTGCACACTTTAAACTGAGTAATTGTTAACTTCATGTTATGTGAATTTTACCTCAATTATAAAGAAGAAAAAAGTATGTACGTTTATTTTGTAATATCTTCTATCACAAATAATAAAGTATCTACTGCAAAATATTACTCTACAGACACAGAACAAGGAAATTCTTTCCTAATTAAAGCAGAAACATCAAAGGTTTAAATCTGATCTCTAGATTCTTTTTCTCTAAGGCTTTTTCTGTCTCAGGCTCCTTGGACGAACCAGGGCATTACTTTAACACAGGGATTCTCAAACTTTGCGTGCCCTGGACGGTCAAACAGATTGCTGGGCACCAGCCCCGGAGTTTCCAATGCAGAAAGCTTAAAGTGGAGCCTTGCAGTTTGCACTTCTTGCAAGTGCCCAGGTGATGCTGACATTCGGGTGCTGGAACCACAGCTCTACTGTAATTGAGAAGATACGACCAGAGACGTGATTCCCAAAGTCGGAAAGCAGTAATTCCTGAAAACACTGTCGCAAGGAAAAGGAAGCTTCTGATACACAGGACACCTTAGGCAGCATATCATTTGGATATGCCAGGTACTTTGTGAGGCTGATGTCCCAAACTAGTCTACATTTCATATAGAAAAAATGACCTTAGAGGCGTGCCTCGCAAATATGCCAGACGCATTGTCAAAAATTTAGAGGGCAAATAAAGTGAATTAAACACTGCTCCTAACTTATGTCTTATACATATAAAAGATACCACACAAGATAAATGTTTGGTAATCTGTTTGATAAACTCATTGATTTACCATCCCGAATTTTCTAAACTCCTCATCTACTTAGGGTAAACAGTACACATACCCCACTGGCAAGGCAAAAGCTACTTCGAAAAGTCTACAAACTACAGAAGACAGAAAACGCTAACAGGTTTGTAACAGATACAAACACCAAGGTTCTATAGTACCACAGAATTCAAACTTTTGATCAAAGCCACTTTCAGTCTGAAACTTTCATTCCTTGCTTTCTCAGAACCTATAAAATAGTTTTATGTTCTTCAGCTACTTAATTGCCTTCCTGCTGCAATAAATATGGTGTTGGGCACATCCTCCTCCACAACTAACCACAAATCAGCATATTCAGACAATTTAAGTCATTGTTTTCCTTAACATTCCCAAAGGTGGCCAGCTACATGCAACTTAATAAATCATTCACCTGTTTTCACCTCTGACCCACAGGAAAACGTTGCCACCTTTTACCTATTGCGTTTGGCCCTGTGTCTAATAAGAACCGTGGACACCAAAAGAACCTCTCTTTTGGTAGCTTATTTGAAAATTGTGAGCTGTGGAGTACGTCAGAGGCTAATATGGGAGAAACTATTCACTGTAAATTCGGCAAATAATTTCAAAACAAACAAGAGAGTTAACAAATCTAAAAGCTATTAATCAAAAGCCTGTTGAACAGCAATTGCCATTTTTCAATGCATTCAAGATAGTTATTAGATATATTTGATTTCAAAATCATCCTTTTGGGTATAAGGAGTTTATTAATATCATAGTTCAAATCCCTGGCACTGTAAATGGAAAGAAAACAAAGAGAAAAACAGGTACAATTGCTTTAACTTTGAACATTCAACTTTGACCCCTGTACCCCCCAAAAAACAACAACAACATAACTTCCAACTACTCTAACAGTAAGCTGAAGTCAAAATAATTTTAGACAACTGATTGGAACCATTCTGCCAGAGGCTCGGCCCTCCACGTTGTCTACAGTGCGCTTTCTCCCTCTTCAAAAATATGCTAATTTTGATAGACATATTTTGACACAAGTCTCATGTACGCAACCTCTAAATGTGACTTACCTGTAACGATTTATAAATAAGAGTATAACTGAGGATTACAGTAAAAATAAAATCACTCTCACCCCCAGCTACACAGATTCAGCATGCCTACCGGCTTCAAATTTTCTTGGAAAGTTTTAATTAGTGAGTGAACTTTCATAGCTGTGCTGCTTAATAATGTTTGTGTATGATTATCAATCCTAGTGCCTTGATCATCAAATAAATTTATCAACCTACAATTTTAACAGTAGAAGCACCTTGATAGCCAACTTAGTCACTACACCTGCTCATAAAATTTTGTAGCCACACAGGTATATCTAAACATTATAAATAGCCTATAAACAGTGATTTAGTGATATGGTGGCATGCTATGTAGCAGTGAAAATACAGTCAGTTCTGCTACAGCACTTGTTTTGAATGCACGAATTGTTCCAACACCACTGACACATTACAGAACAATGTGAGCATTAACACAAACTTCACATTTTCTTATACAGAGTTTCAGATAAACAGACGAATGACTGCACCCAGCTGACCCAAGCCGCGTAAGAATACACAACACACACTCAGGCACACACTTCGAACATGCACGAGTTCCCTCGGCTTTGCTGTGTTAGGAGAAACATCCTTTCACATTTGGTTTCCACTTTACATCCGATTTCAGATAACCTTCCCTCCTGCACATCACATTCACCCTTCCAGTGACTTCCACAGGCAAACTGCAGCTCTTTTTCAAGGTAAAGTGTCAAATTTATCACAGTGTTTATGTATTTTCTAACCATTTAAAATGTGTAAAACTGTGATACTACTTTTACTTTTTAGTGTGTCTCTTATTAAGCTTTTGAGCGATGTGCCTCAGCCCCATTTCCCACGAGCCCTGTGGTTGTTACGGCGTGAGTTTGGGCAGGCAGCAGTGATATGCAGAACCACCTACACCGTGATGTAATAGAACTGAACGTAAACCAACTGCCTCGTCTTCAACATGGATGAAGCTCGATGTTGAGTCAGAAAAAGAATCCAGGGGAGCTAGGGACATGGGACTGAAGGGCAACGCTGAAAGGGTTAAACGGTTTTGGCTCCTCAGGAATTGGTCTGTCCGGGCCCAGGACTGGAAGGCTGCACATCTCGACCCCATGTGTACAAGAATCTGATTTATACTACTCCTATTCTTTTTACATGTGACTGCTATAAACCAAATTATTTTTTTAAAGACTATATATAGTGTGATATCGTTAAGTTCAAAAACAGGTGAAATTAATCCACTTAGTTTTCATGGTACATAAATACACAGAAATATCATAAAGATAAGGATGAGAATTATAAATATAAAATCACTAGGGAAAGGATGGAACAGAGAATACAAATAGGGTGAATTAAGGTCTGTTTTGTCAACTGAATGGTAGCGGCATATGAGTATTCTTTATACGAGTTATTCTTTAAAACATGGTCTGGAGAATGTAAGCCTCTTTCAAAGGATCTGTGAGGTCACAGCTATTTTCATAAAAAAAATTGAGACAGGGTTTGCCTTTTCCATTCTCATTCTTGCAAGAGTGTACAGCAGTTTCCCAGTGATACATGACATGTCATTATGGAAACAGATTAAATGCAAAAGCAGCCATGAGAACCAGCTGTCTTCTACTAAGCCAGATGCTAAGAGATTTGTGAAGATGTACAATGCCACTGTTGTGATATTTTTTGTCCAGGGAAAACATATTTTCATAATTATATGTTACTTATCTTAACATAATTAATTAGCTGTTGTTATTTTTAAATAAATAAACATTTTAAATTTCTCAGTTCTACTTTCTAAGACAATAAATATAAATCGATATGACCCACATAAACAAAAGCTCTTGGGGTCTTCAATAATTTTTTAAAATATAAAGGAATCTCAAGGCCAAAAAATTGGAGAACTGCTTTAAACCTTCTATCTGCTACACACACACACACACACACACGCACACACGGCTCTTTTGCATGTATGAAATATTTCACAACAATAAAGGTAAAAAAAAAATCATAGTGTAACAAAGACATAGAAAAAACCCTTCCCCACAACAACCGGGCGGTACTGTCTGAGGCGAAAGCTTGCTACAATGAAGACTCATCTACAGATGTGACTCACCGATACTCAGTCTGTGAAACACAATCATAAAGTTCCTGGGCGGTGAATCTGATATTTTTATTTACCTGAAAAAAACCAAGATACAGTTATTAAAATGCATATTAAATCAAATGAGTAGTAAAAGCACAATCAGAATCGCCAATATTCTGAGGGAACAGAATGTCAAGTTTCTAGTTTTTGCATAAAAAGAACAGAAAATTAACAATCAGAAATTCAGAGACCATAATGCTAACATGAAACTCGGTGCAAAAATGTTGGTCCTATTGTTACAACCTAATCTGAACCAAGAACAAGAAGTGAGATGGGCCTAGGGTCAGTGGGACTACAACGAAGCATTTTGTAGATCCCATGGACAGAAAAAAAGATATACTGCACGAAACACTAAATTCTACTGCTACTGGCTGTTAGCAATAGTCATGCTTCAATTGGCCTAGCCTGTTAAAAGATTTCTAATATTTAGTATTTATTTTCTAGGAAAAGTAAATGAATCTAAGAAAAATTTTTAAAAACTACTTAATTTTAAATAACTCTATACTTAAGGGGCTGGGGTCTAATAGGTAGAATATTGTAAGCAGAAAAAGCCACATCTTGTTCATATCCTGAACATTAGAAATAATTAAAGCTGAAAGAAAGTATTCAACTCTAACAATAACTGAATACTATGGATAACCCTTTCAAAAGTTATTACTAACCTTCACTTTCATTTAAATACAAATATTATAAACTGTGTAGAAATATCTACCTGTTTGGGAAAAAGTATGATTTACAGACATTTTCTAAAGAAATATATTTTTCAGACTATCGAGGTCTAAATAGTTAAACTGATATGCTTAAGTTCATAAATACCTATTATAATTCAGAGACATAATTTACAATATTATAAATATAAAAGTCCTTCATCATACAAAAACTAGCCATGGCACACACATGGAGGACACTGTGAATTCTGTATTTCTTGAGATTTACTACTACTGATTTAGGATATCTTTTACTTAATTCACTTCTTTTTTATATATTTAAAGTAATATTAGCTGGAATGAACTTTTTGGTGGGAAAAATGCTTTCCGTGGGGGAATGTGACATATTTAATCATCACTACTTTAAAGACTCATATCATAAAAGTCTTCTATAGAATTTAGGGGACTGCTTATTACCAAAATTTCCATGAGCTTCTTTAGTATTTTCATAAGAAATTCACCATATTTGTGTAGAAAATGTTTTATTCACTGAAGGCTAAAAACATATTTTAAAATATATTTTAAATTTACATAATCCTGAATTTTGCTAAAATTAGGATTAGATACTTATAGTCAATGTTATTTAATTATATATAATATTTAATATATTTAATTAATGTATAAAATTAGCATTTAATTTATCATAACTTTTTTAGGTACTTTACAATTTTTATTAAAAGTCTTTTAAAAAGATCCTAAGATATACATTCAGAGTTAAACTATCAACCAGTCCAAATCCTGCTTCTTTACGTGTTCTTCCCTGGTCTCCAGGCCTTTGATATTTTCATTATTGCCCCAACACCCCAGGACCTATATATATACTATATCCAAACTTAGGCCAACAAATGTCAACAACACTGCACATGTCTGATCAGAGGATGATTAAAATCCTTCCTCCATCAACTGTTGAGAAAAATCAGCTGAAGAACTGATCCCGAACCTGACATAATATAAACACAAAATAGTTCCTTAGGCCTTTAGATTTTGAGAAAAATGAGTATCTAGATGACTCTTTCGTTTTAAAACCAATCACCCACATAAATTTAGACACTTATCCCAGAATATAGCTGGGGTATAAGGGTAATGTGGCTCTAGCTCATAGATGGCTTACAAAGAAGACAATTTATTAGTAAAAAGGGTCGATGAAATACAAATTGATTACCTTATTACAGAATCTAGCTGGAAATATCTTGTTTCATATTTATTAATTTTGATTCAAGACCTTTTTAATTACTCATATTGGGACATTTTAAATTACACTGGTTAATATTATTTCTATGCTCAAGTGCACAATTTTAAATCCCAAGGAACAAATAGCTATAAGATACCTTTGTCAGTAAACATTAGAGTCGCAAGAGCAAAAGGCAAAGGTTAAATATAAAAAGTTTAGGTGGTGCCGATACTATTATGGTATGAGACAAATATCTCCAATGTAGTAACTGTTATAGGGAAGGAAGTTCTGCTAAGAGAAATGATTTTAAAAACGGAGAATCGATTCCACATATTCTTAAAGATAATGGTATGTATTTTCTCTCAATATTCTCAGCAATAGGAAGCACTAAAAAGATCTGTCTCAGATTTTTCCACAATATGTAATTTTAAAATTGTCCTATTAGTTCCACAAATAGCTATTTTTATTATTAGAATTAATGACAATTTGAAATTCAGAAAGTATGAAGAATTATATGAATCATTTCAAAAGAGGAAATTCTATTAATTTCACAGGGTAGTTATACAGTATTATGGCTGATTTTTAAAAAAGTACACAAACATTTTGTTTCCTTAAATAAAGTAGGTAATACCGAACATTTACTCTGTACCTGGTACTGTTTGGAGCACTTTATATCTATTAAGTTACTCAGTCTTTGAAGAATACTATAATTTATCTACTAATGCCATTCCCATTTTACAGAAGAAGAAACTGAGACGAAGAGAATTAAATAACTTTAAGAGCATATAATTAATAGGTGGCAGAAACAACATTTGAACACGAGTAGTTTGACCTCAGAGTCTGTGTTCTTAGTCATTAGGTTCTTAATGTTAGATGTGGCGTACAAAAAATTAAATAAAAAGCCAACTGGGAATAAAAGTGAAGAAATATATTTAAAGGAGTTTGATTCCATAAGAAATGTGAGACCTGAATATGTCATATTTCCCCACGGAAAGCATTTTAAGAATTAAACACATACTCACATACTTGAAAAGAAAGGAAATATGGGAACATGGGCAAAGAGCTTTAGACAAACAAAAATCTGAAGATCAATAGAATACTTTCCAGGGATCAGCAAGGATGAGGACGGCATGCAGGTTAATTTACAAAATACTCTGGCGCTTCACCACCGCTCTAACTCTGGGGCCTATGCTGATGCCATAGAGGAAACTCAAGGATAGCTTCCGTGTTCCACACCATAAAGAAATAACTTGTCGAAAATGCCAACAGCACCTCTCACGACAAACAATTCTGTGTTGTAGAAAGTGTATTATTCTAGGATTCTACTGCATGTTTTTACATAGAGAATGAAAACAAAATGAGTATGTCATTGGCAAACTTTTGTGGCATTCGAGAGTTTAAAGGAAATATCAATTACATGGCTTTCCATTACATTTTAGAACTACCATGTTTTCTCTTGACAGGTGTTTATGGTGGAAATATGGTAAACATTTAAAAATATTTCTCATACCTCATACTTGATTAGGAAGTTATAGAGAGTCTCGACATCTTGATAATTACTGTTGGGGGCCAAAATCCTAAAAAATATAATTACAAAAAAAGGGGGAATGAATGATTTAAGAAAAAATAATACCTGAACTTTTCTTCAAAAACATACACATAGTGTGAGGAATAACTTACTGTATAATAGGCTTAATAAAATTTTTATAACTTTTTTGGATTTTAAAATTAAAATTAAAATTAAAATTATAAAACCATGAGCTTAACTCAACAGAGGTCAATTTATTGAAATATTTTTGCTTATTTGACATATAACTTTACAACAATAAGTGATTCTGTGAAATGAGAGTTCACGTTTTGAGTTCCAATGATAGATTTCTCAAAAGGTACATAGAAATATGAAATGCATTTATATTCCATAATTTTTAAGCCGCAGATTTCCCACAGAAATGTTCAATCAATCCAGACAATTGATTTAACTATCCTAATAAAAGATTTTGTGACTAAATTCAAACAATATTGAACTATCAAGCCTAGTATTCTACAAAAAGGCCTTTATAATTAGACTATTACTAACACTGATTCATAAAAACAACAATGAAATATAACACTAAATATATAAACAACACAAAAACAAAAATAACAAATGGAAACTAGACAAAATAGAAATAAAGAAAATGGAAGAACATATTTCTCCTAGCAATAAAATAGTAATTCTCATTTTCTTATACTAAGTATTTTTTAAATCCTTTCATGATGAAGTTTTTTTTTTTCTTTTGAAAAAAGGAAATGAAACCAGTACTTTCTTTATGGTACAGTGGTTATCAGCAATGTCTGCCTGGGTTTCTTGAGCTGGGTGAGTTTTGTGGAACTTATTTTCCTTGTTTCTTAAATGAGAATGGTAATAGTCCTTACTTCATAGGGTTATTATGAGAATTAAATGAGCTACTATAAGAAAACCCTTCATAATAATGTCTGATATCCAGCAAGCACTATATATCAATTATAATATTAATGATAACAACCATTATCATCATCTAATATTTTCAAGCCACAGAATAAGTGCATAAAGACCTAACTAATGAGAAATTAAGCCACCTCAATTAACTCTGAAATTCCAAGTGCCTTTTTAATTACAATGTCTCTAGGTTCTCACATCTTTGTTGATGCTTGATATTGTCATATTGAGTTAACTAACCTAAATAACCTTATTAGATCTTTAAACTATTTGGCCTTTATTAGACTTGTGGGAGAGGTTTTATATATAATTTTTCAGGATATAGTACAATTTTCAAAGGGGCTTTTTTCCCTTGGAGGAGACATATACAGAATATCTTTAAGAATATACAAAAATCTACATAGTACCATTTCATGAAAAAAATTTTCTACCAACAAGTAATTTTAAAGTACCTATAATCTAACAATAATAACAAAAAAAGATAGATAATATAATACACATTGAGAGAGTCCACAAATAATTTGCTTAAAAAAATGAAAACAAAACTATTGAGACAAGTTAAACCAATCTGTTAGAAAAGCAATGAAAAAAAAAAAGTGTGTTCTAACACTGTAACTTAGTATAAAACAAACTATCAGCAATGTGGAATAATTTACACTTATTAATTTTTTTCACTTATTCATTTTTATAGCTTAGGAAACATTTACACTGTGCATAAAAGCAGATAAGGAAAGTAGATGAAAGAAGATGTTTTGTAAGAGCCTTATAAATTTCAAGCTGATTATCACAAAAGAAAGTACTTCGTTAAGGAATAAAATTAACTTTTCTGTGTCCTGAAAAACTCTGCAGAAAAAGAATGGTTTTAGGTAAATTAGTTATTCATCTATAGCAAAATCATATCCAAAGTAAGAAATAATTACAACATCCTAGATTTCCAATTAGCAAAAAAATTGACAAAAATTTTAAACTCCTAACTTGGTTTTATTTTTGTAAAGAGTTTTACTGAGGTAGTTTACATACCATAAAATTCACTCCGTTTAACAATTCGACAATTTTTAATAAGTTTACAGAGCTGTAGAGCAATCGTCACAATCCATTCTGAGAACCCTTCCTTCACTCCCCAAAAATCCCTCTTGCCCATCTGCAGTCATTCTCTGTTCTCACCTCCAACCCCAGCTCCAGGCAAACACTAATCTACTTTCTTTCTCTATAGAGTTGCCTTTTTGGACTACACTGTTTTTTTTCAGTCTATAAGTTCATTTCCTCTCATCCTCACAAAAGCACAGTTGTAACTATAAATAATAGCGTACTAAAAGTCCAGTAGATGAGGTAAACTCTAGTGGATAACGGCAAAACCTCACAATGTTCTTGGTAAGTAAAAAAGCAAGATGCATAACAAAGATGCTCAGATCAGAATAAGAGGCCCTTTATTCTCTCATTCAACAAGTATTTGAGACCTACTATGAGCCAAACTCTGTCCCAGCCCCTTGGATACAACAGTGAACAAAAAAGACAAAGGTTCGGAGTAGAGCCCAGGAAAGAAAATCCTAAGCAAGCACAGAAAGATAATGAAGGAAGGAAAATAAGAAAACAAACTAATTTACGAGAAATTACTTGCTCCAAATGTAAACACTAATTTACAAGAAATTACTTGCTCCAAATGTAAACACTTTATTATTTGACAAAATAGCACAGAATTATATTCTAATGAAGAAAGTTTTTTGGTATGTCGGCGTCATACATAGATATCTATTTAATCAGAATAAAACTATACATGTTCTTTCTTGAAACTAGGATATACATTATAGTATTCAAATTTGTTATCCTCAATGAATGTTTTGAGGTAAACCAAGCCACAAATAGACTAGACAATCTTTACTAAAGTACACTCAATTTAGGGTTGAATTTAGACTTCACTACGTCCTATGAACTCTCAGCTTATGAGAATGAAATTAGACCTAGTATAAAAGAAAAAGTTGCCAACTTTTATTAACTATAAGTACAGCTTGTTGAAAATACACACAAAAAACAAAATGGAGAAAAATGGTTTATGGACTTTCATGCCTTCCCACACAAAAATTCTTGAGAGGTCAGCCTTCTCTATAGCTTTCTCATTTTTTTTTCTTATACCAAGATGAAGACAAAAGACTCTTTGAATGAAAGTCCTAACATTACCCTTCAATAGCAACTTAAAAAAAAAAAAAAAAAACCAGAATGAAAGAATTACCCGTTAGAAGAAATGTTTTTCAGTAAATGGCTATTTTTTAGTTTTAAATATACCCACACTTGTGCCTTCAAGAAAAATTCATAACAGTAAGTTAACAAATGTATACTATTTTCTCAAATGTCTATTATTCTAAGAGCTATGGAATATAAAAAAAAAATTAAATGACCTGGTTCCCTATCTTCAAGTTGTTTATTATCTTGGAATTTCAATTTAGAATTTTGTTATCAGAACTGGGGATCAGACATCTGATGGTGGTTATCTTTTCTATTAGTGGTAAAAGCCTGGGCTCCGGAGTGAACCAGTAGACATATGGACACCTACCAACACTCTGTGTAAGGCAGGATTCAATCTGCACCTTGCAGATTATTTACAAAACAAGTCTGATCTTAAGGTGCTTTGGTTTCTTTTATAACAGCATCGACAATGATACATAATGTATCATTGAACGCTTACTCCAAGTCTGATACTACTTACTTATATCATCTCTAATGTTTTTAATACCCTGAATTTAGTTACGAGACCTTAATCAAATTACCTACTTTTTTGCACCCCGGCTCGTCATCTGTGAAATGAGTAGGTAATATATATAAGGTGATTATATGAACTAAATAAAATAATGTATCTAAAGTGTTTAGCACAATGCCAGACATGTATCAATAAACATTAGCTGTTGTGAAAACCAGTTTTCAGGTGTAGAAACCACAGGTAAGAGTTGTTAAAACCTTGCCCAAGATTACAGAGTGGCGGTAGGTATCCAAACCTCTATTGGTTTCGTTCTGGAGCCCATGCTTTTACCACTAATAAAAAAGATAACCGCCATCATCTTCTTGCTTGTAAATGATTTTACAAAATCATATGAAATAAAGTTCTTTTAAAATAATTGTATATGTAAGCAAAAATATTCTGGCTTTTATCAAAAGCTCTGGCAATCTATTTTGTGTATGTTCCAACCCTAAATGTTTGTAGCTGACTGATCTTTCTCAAAGCCACAAAGGAAGTAAGTAGCAGAACCAACACTCACTACAAGTCCTGACTCTTAACCACAGAATCACTTTGAGTTTTCTATTTATATGAACAATTAGCATTAAGTAAGTGACATGTTAATCTGAATTAAACAAGTTTTATTTCCATTTCATCCAATACTAGTAAAATATTAATGTATCTCTTTAAGGAAAAAAAACAAAAACAAAAACTAACCACTCAAACTTGAAAAAGAGACAAATAATGCATTAAAATGGACTAACTTTTAAATTAGGACTTTAAAAATTTGAATAAAACAATTTTCCCATTTAGGAGAAATAAAGCAGCAGACTCAGGAGTGGGGAAAGAAGTCTAGAATATTCAAGCTTAATATCTAATTCTAGAAATTCAAAAGAAGAGAGACTATGTTCTTAGATATTTATAAATCACAATTTACATCCCACGGAACTGAATAAATTATGTTCCCTATTGGCAAGACGAAAGTTTTACATTAATATAATATTTAAAATAGTTTTCGAGAGTGTGAAAAAAATTAAATTTTAAAAAGTATTTATATGGCTTATTTCACTTAGCACAGTGTCCTCAGGGTTAGTTCATCCATGTTGTAGAATATGTCAGAATTTCCTTCCTTTTTAAGACTGAATAATATTCTATTGTATGTACGCACCACATTTTTCTTATCCATCCCTCAATCGACATGTGGGCTGTGTCCACGTTTTACCTATTGCTAATAATGCTGCTATGAACATGGGTATGCAGATATCTCTTTCAGACCTTGTTTTCAATTTTTTTTAAAGATTTTTCATTTACATTTAGCTACAATAATGTATTGATTTCAGGTGTACACCACAGTTATTCAACATTTACATATTTAAAGAAGTGATAACTATGATAAGTTCAGGAACCATCTG